ATCCTCAGAGAGCCTGAGAAATTCCCCAGCTTTTTCCAGGCACTTCATCCCTTCCTTTTCCTTGCAGAGTTTGATGAAGGATGGTGCTGAGAGAAAAACTTCCCTAGGAAAGGATTTCCAGCTGGATCGGCAGCAATTGAGATTGGGAGCTAAAAAAGGGAAAATGCAGCAGGACAGCAAATCCCCATCCCACAGCAGCCAGAATTCCCAGGCTCCAGGGACACATCCCAGGGCACAGGATCAGCTCCTCCTGTTCCTCACTAAGAGTAAGCCAAGGAATTTCTGTGAGCTGGGATGAGTTTTTGGTATTGATTACCTGGGGGTCCCTGATGGAAATGAGCAGGGGAGAGATTCCAACACATTTCTACGTTGTTAAACCTCTTCCAAAAATTAGATATTTAGTACAAAAATCACAGCTTTTAATCTTAACAGCTCGGTCTTAAACAAGGCCTGGATGCTGTGCAGGAGAGTCAAAACTGGATAATGGAAAAAGGAATTTTATAATATTATATACCATATATTTTATTCTATTCTACAGTCCATATACCATTCCCTATTCTATTTGCTATTCTAGTCCCAATTCCCTATTCCATTCCCCATTCCATTCTAATAAATCCCTCTGGAATTATGCCAGAAAACACCTGGAATTTTCTCTTCTCCCAGGTACCAAGGTGCTGAAGCAGGCAGAGCACCTGATGGCATCCAGGGTCACGCTGCTGAACCCCCAGCTCACAGCACCTCCCCTGCAGGGTAAAAAAAACCATAAAAATTGAAATAACTTTGACTTTTCCTTCTTTTTCCTGCCACTGTTCCCACCTTGCCTACAAAATTCCCCACGTTTGCTCAAAAACCACGGTGAGAAATGGATTGTTTAGGAAAACAACTTTGTTGTGTTCCTGTACCCAGGGCAGGAAATGAAGAGTGAAATCCCCTCTTTTCTCCTCGGCCTCCTGAAGGAGGTGAACGACGAGCTCCAAATTCATGCGCTGGCAGCTGGGCTGGGACAGAGCCAAAAGCTGGAGAAAAGTAAATTTTACCACTTTTCTTTCTCATAAAACAGCCAGAATTGGTTTAATTGGAAGATTTCTGCTTCATCCTTGAGGGAGCTGTTGATTTTGGTCACATTTTGCTACACAAACACCTCATTTATTCTCTCTACCAGTGAAAGAGAAAGACTCAGCATCCAAATCACCTGAATTTGGTGCTGACCAGCTCTAATTCCACTTTTCCATACCTTGATTATGAGGAGTTTCTCTAGGAAAAGTAAATTTCAGCCATTTCCTTCATTATCCGTATAATAATTCACAATGCATCAACAGGGATTCATTTTGCTTTGAAAAATATTAAAAGACGAGAAATGCAGTGTTTTATCCACTGGTATTGCAGTGTTACCTTTTGGACAAAAAAAAAAATGCAAATAGAGATGAATTAATCAAATTAATTCTGTTTTTGCAGCAGGAATTACTGCTCAGGAAGGAGAGCTGAGAGCAGTGGACCCTGCAGCCCTTTCTCCCAGGGAGTTTGTGGTGTTCCAGTACGGCCTCTCCATCCTACAGTTCCTCACATTTCACATTCAAGTAAGAAATGAGCTTAGATCTGGTTCATCCCTGATTTGCACCAAGTTCTTACAGGAGCGTTTTCCCTTCTCTCTGCAGGCTCCAGGAATCACCCTGGCTGTTGCCTCCAGCCTCCCCCAGAGCCATGCCCCAGGCAATGCCTTCAGGAATTCTTTCTTTTATCAGGTTTGTGCCCTCCACATCCGTGCAATTTTGTTCTATCCATCAAGTTCCAGCACTGGGAAGCAGAATGAAAAGCATTAAATATTTTCTTCAATAGTTGGATGTTGGATACTTTCCTGCAGAAATAAAAATAAATATAAGAAATGATCAAATGTTAATGACCTCCAGATATACCTGAGCACAAACCTAAGACAGCAATGTTTAAATTCACGTTTAATGAGAGGGTCATACCCAAAACACATTTAATAAATAAGCTCTGGTTTTCCAGTTTCTCACATCCAAGTTTTACCACTTTTCATCTCTGCCAAATTCTTCCCAGGTCAGCTCCACAGGCATCAGTGGCCCAGCATTTTTCTTACCATATTTAAATTACAAACTGCTGTAATTAAATTATAAAATCTGGCTATTTGGTCTTACTTTTTCTAAGTTTTTTAAATACAAACCTTCCTGGAGAGGACAGGAATGCTTTAAATTCACAGATTATTGAACAAAGTCTTGTGCATGTGGACATTCCCCAGCACTGATTTGAATCCTCACACTCACCTAAAATTGAGACAAACCACTGGAAGATTTCCATCAGCTGAGCCGATTCCTGCTGTCCCAGCTGGGGATTTTCCTTTTTTTGCCAGAATTCCAAGAAGAAACTCTTCATCCTGAGGGATTGCCTGGGCTCTGGGGGAGGTTTCCTGCTGGTCCTGGTGCACTGCTTGGCTCACATCACTGCTGGGGACCTCGGCCACGACACCAACCCCCTCTTCCTGAACCTTTTCCACCAGGTACAGCAGGATTTTCTCAAGAGAAACACATTCAACTCATTTCTGTTAAAATTCCTTCTTTTAAAAGAGAAGGGTTAATGCTGGCCAGAACTGAGAAAATAAAAAGGCAACTCCACCCTAACCCCAGCTGGGCAGTAAAGCGGAAAACCCAAGAGAAAAGCACTTTTATCATCACAGTTCTGGCTCAGAACGCAGAGAAATTCATTGGGAATTAAAGCAGGAATTGGAATTTTCCCCCCCAACCCCGTGATGTGATGCAGGTTCTCAAAACCTTTCATAAAGTTTTTTTTTGTTGTTGTTTATTTTTTGATTTCTCTAGGCTCTAAAGGCCTGTCTCAGTGAGATGTTCTCCCTCAGGCTGCAGCTCTCAGCAGCTCCCCAGGGGGATAAATCCCAGGGGATAAAGCAGGTGCTGCTCAAGGAGGAGCCATTCTCCACAGAGGAAATAAACCTCATCTCCCAACTCTTTGAAGTGAGAGTGAAAAGCCAAACAGACATGGAAGCCTTTGAGAAGGTAACAAGAACAAAATAGAACCAGACCTGGCTGAAATTATCCACTATCCCTAATTTTTTTTAGTTTGGCAACTAAATAGTTTATGAAACCCAGCTGGTTCCAGATTACTCTGCTGAAGCAGGAAGGTTAAAATAAATTAAATTTCATGTAAACCATTAGGGTCAGCATAAACAGCAATATAATGAAAATATATTTTAAATATCTACAAAAAGGCTTTTATAATTAACATTTATCTGTTCTCTCCACTTCTGTGTTTACAAAGAACCTCTTGCTCCATGTGAAGTCTGAGGAATCGCTCAACAACAAGTGGCTGGAGAAGAAAAAAGAGAATTTCCTTCATCCCCTGAGCAGCAGTGGAAGGGACAGCCTCCAACAGAGGGCACAGTGAGCATTATCTTCTACTTACTACTTAAATTTATTATTTCACTACCTTGTACAGTGAACTTTTTCTGGTTTGCTCCTGTGAAGGTAAAATTTTAACTCTATTAAATGAAATGGCATTTCTTCTCTCTCAATTTCAACATTTCCCTCTTTTTAGCCTTGAAGGGGAAGCCGTCAATTCCTCGTTCCCTTCGGCACTGGAGGATAAAGTGGATGCATTAACTGAGGAGCTGCTGCAGATCATGAAGGATGAAGAGCAGTTTTTAAGCAGTAAAGGCAATGAAGATCTGCTCTCTTACTACCTTGAAATAACCAGTTTGGAGAAGGAGAGTTTGGTAAAACAAATAAATGCATTAGAAGAGGAAATAGCCCAGGGCACAAAGTTGTGATGCTCAGAACTTTGTGGTTTGGTTCCTGCCCCTCTGCTCTGGGCATTAGGCTTCAATCCAAAGTAAATCCTCTGTTTTTGCTTTAATTCCAGTGCATTTTTCCTCTCCATCCCAAAGGCTCATTAAATCAAGAGGGAAAGCAGTGAAGTAATTTAAGTGACAAGACTTTGGCTGGAGGAACTGACATTTCTGGCCACATCCAAGAGCTGAGAAGAAATATTGCTGCAAAAGCCCAGACTCAGTTTCCAGGAACTGAAACAGAATACAGAATCACTCAATTCCTAGTGTTAAATAAATTATTCTTTAAACCAATGCATCACTCCAGGAGGTGTTCTGAGGCCTCTGCAGCTGAGACTTGCAGTTTTATGATTTTATGACACAGCAAAAACTGCAGATACGGTTACTTGGGTTAATCATATCCGTGCAATTCCACTTAAAGTGCAAGAAATATTATTTTCCACCATTGAAGCAACTTCTAAATCACTTTATTTCAGCTCTGTGCTGCCACCCACCCAGGAATGCACTGTCCAAGACAATTCCTGCTCTTAAACCTGGGGAATCAGCCTCTCCTCCTCCCCAGTTCTAGAGCCAAAACATGAAATAGTCAATATTTCCCCATCAGTGAAACATCAGCCCAGCCTCCAGTGTAGATAAAAAGCAAGTGGAGGAAGAACAAAGTCACTCAAAACTCTTTTTTTTTCCCCCCCATCAGTACAAAACTCATGGGGGCACAGCACAATTTAAATATTTTTGTGAGTCACTAAATACTGCAGACATATCTGCTGGTGATATTTAGGTCTTGGCTCTTTCCACCTTTGCCAGAAGGAAGCAAAGTGTCTTTCAAAGCAGCTTGGGGGGCGTTTTTATCTTCCTTTATGTGCCGATGTTCTCACTAAGAAGCTCCTGAACACCCTTCAAGGCATCACCAGCAGCTGGCTTTGATAAAAAAAATCATAGCATATTTATTGATTTATGCATTTCCTTTTTAACTTACAAGAAGAATCTCACAATACATCTTCAATCTTATGTTAACATCAATTAAAAACAATCTCAGCTAAAACCCCCCCCCCCCCCAAAATATCCATAAATAACAGTCAGAGACAGGGATTGGACAGGAAGTGCTGTGTTTATGAGGTTTTGTGGTGCCAGCCTTCACCCCATCACAAAATTGGGGCTCCAAGATCCTGGAGGAACCTTGGCTCTACCTCTTGTTGTTGACCCAGTGGTACCTGTCCACACGCGGGCCAGCGAAAGCGGCCGTGGGCCTGTAGGTCCTGGAGGCCCTGTGCTGGCCAAAATGGAATCCCTCGGCCACGTGGGGCCTCCTGTGCAGGTACAGCCACCAGGCCTGTGGGGCAGCCTTGTAGAAGTCACCAAACTGAGCAGCAAAAAGGGAAACAACGTTAAAATGTGCCGGGGAAAGAGGAGGGAGCGGCCAGGCCATCCCAGTCCTGCCACGTTCCTTCCTGTGGGAGCTGAGCTGCCGCTGCTCCCTCCTCCCAAAGCTCCATCCCAGCCACAGCATCGCTGAGGGTGGGGAAAAAGCTTTTAAGAACAAATCCAGCTGTTCCCTAAGCCTTGTCCCCAAGTGCCAATCTTTTAAACCCTCCTGGGACCGTGACTCTGTCAGGGGTGGTCACTGTGGAAACAATTGCTGGGGTCTTCAAATAGTTACTGGTGTTAAAACAAATGGAGTGGTATGGTGAGAATTAGGAAGAAATGGGTCCACAGGTTTTTAACTTTTGATTCACAGAACATGGGAAAGCTTGGTGTTTAAGAACAGGCTGTACACACTTCCATGGGACAGTGACACCACGTGCCAGGGCTGGAAAACTCTTCCAGGGAAGAGATCAAACCTGAACCTCCCCTGGAGCAGCTTGAGGCTGTTTCCTCTCCTCCTGTCACTGGGGGAACAGCCTGACCACCCACCTGCCAGAGCCTCTTTTGTGGGATTTTGGAGTGAGAAGAGCCCCCAGAGCCTCACCTGGTAGACGCTGTTGGGGTTGCTGACGGTGGGGATGGCTTTGGGCTGCTTGCTGAAGCTCTCCTCATCCGAGGAGCTGCCCGACTGATAGTCCAGGGCCGCCCTGCCCACGGCCAGGCTGATCTGCTGGGGCAGCTCAGAGTTCTCCTCCCCATCAAAGCGTGCCACGGTGAAGGGCCGGTTCCTCTCTCCGTACCTGCAACACCTGTGGGTGGGTGCTGCTGCTCTGGGCACCCCAAAAGCTGCCAAACCCAGGGTGTGAAGGCTGGCAGAAGGTTTAGACTGATAGAGCAGCCAGCAGCTGCTGTTGCAGGCTCTGAGCTCACCTGCAGCACACCTCGAAGGGATCCACCCACAGCGTCATCTCCTTGGGCAAGCCCAGCAGGCTGAAGTCCACGTCGCTCTCCACACAAGCCTGCTCCAGCAGGGGATCCCGTGCCTGTTGTTTGTTGATCCTGATACACCTGGGGGAGCAGCAAAGTGCAGCTGGAGTTGGGGTTTCACTGCAGCTTTGCAGGCTCTGCTCGTGCAGAGCACAGCCCAAATCTCTGCTCATTGCCCCAGCACTTTTAAGGTGCAGGTTCTCACTTAGAGCCCCCAGCAGCACCTCAGCCTCACGAGCTGATTTATCAGCTCAAACAGGACTCTGCTTTTAATCCTCATCAATAGCTGATGAAGCAAGTTACTGCTTTAAGTGTTTAAAGCAGAGCCATCCCAAAAGTCACTTTAAGACCACCTGAATTCTGCATCCTGGGAGTCAGAGGCTAATTGAGACACTCATCTTAAGACTTCCACCTCTCTAATAACACATTTACAGGTAAAAAAATTAAAAATTTACTTTTCACCAATTAATAATTCTTCCTTCAAGCTGAAGGGGTATCCTGATGGCTCCATTTGTATAATTTATTTCACTTTAAGGCCTCCAGGAGCTGCTTCTTGAATGTCAACCCAGGGCTCCACGTTCTTCTCCTGACCCCCTCTCACCTGAAGGCTTGGCCTCGGGATGGATTGTCCAGGTACCAGTGATTTCTGTACTTTTCAAACAGGACCATGGTCAGCTGTGCTGCAAACTTATCAATTTCATGCTTGCTCAGCTTTTCTTCCTTCTTCACCAACTTTGTGATGAAGAAAACCGTGGCAGCAATTTCATCTCTCATCTTAAATTGTAGCACAGGAGGTGCTTGAGCTGCTGAAGCAGAGATGGAACACCACACCAGAGAGATTTAATAACATTAAGGCATTATCAGGTTCCAAGAATTGATGCTACAAAACCTGCACAAGCCAGGACAGACAGAGCCTGGATAACCCTGACTGCCAAAGAGCAAATCAGATTTAGTTTCTGGTATTAAAACCAGTTTAATGCATTACTAGAAGGCACCTGCACTAAGCAAGTTAAGAGAGAATATTAAAAAAAAGCAAGTTTAAAATATAATAGTTATTTATCACATGTATTACAAGCAGCAGACCTTGTATATATATATAGCTATACATATATAATACATAGCTTTTTATGTAAAAAAAGACAAAAAATATCACCTTTTCACAGTAGAGACAGTAAAAACTTGAGATAAACTTCACAAACAGCTTAAAGAGCCACTAAAAAAAGCACATAAAATACTATAAGGCTCTGTATCATGTACACATTTACCCTGTATCATTTACCCCAACACCCAAAGGCTCCCTCCTGCTTTCCCTGGTGGAGTTTGGTCAGGCTTTTTATAGAACGGGAATGATGTGGCACTGAGGAATGTAAGAATATTCAGGTGTGCAGGAGCTGCAGGTGTGTGTTAGAATAATTAACCTATCCCAAAAATATTCCCTTGGCTTAATTCCAACATCAGCTCCTTCTTTTAGGGTGGTTTAATTGATTCCATTCTGAATTCTGTTGTGTCCATCAGTCTACCCCATAAATACCCATGGAAAATTTAATATTCACCACAAGCTAAACAGCACCAGGCTTATTAATTAATGATTAGAATTGTGCTGGACTTCTTCTAGAATGATTAACCTGATTATTTTCCATGTGAAACCTTCCCATTTGGCATTCCTTCATTAGAAAACTGCTTGATTCTGGATTTATCACATCACTGATCTTCCTCATTCACATTATCAGCATAGATTTATATAGGTTTTCAGGTGTTTAAAACTCAGAAAACGTCTCAGTTGCTCAAATGTTGTGCTCCTGGTTCAAAACCCCAAGCTGTAATTCTCAGAGCACAGAGAACAGCTGATTGTTTCCTTTTTTAGTTGGGTTTTTTTTCCCCTTTTGCTGCCTCTGGAGGTTGTGTCTGCAGTGTCAGGTCCCAGGAAGTGCCAAGCCAAGAGAACAAAAGGAGCTGAGTGTTCCAAACTGGTTTTACTGGGGTTGGGGATGGTGCAGCCCCACAGTTCCAGGGCTCACATCTCAGCCCGGGGTGATACCAGGCAGGGGATGAGAAATACACAGCCTGAAGGCACAAAATTTCTCCCTAAACCACAAATTTCTGCCTATTTCTGGATTTTGTTTCTCTCCACTCACACAGCTCCTTCCTTGCTCTTTAATTTCTTTCTGCATCAGAGAAAAAAAATAAAAAATAAAAAGGAATAGAAGACCGAGACTTTCAGTAGAAATTCTGCTTTTAAGGAATGAGAATAAACCACAAACCAGCCCCATTTTCCTTCTCTTCCCTTGTCTCACATATCAAAACACCTCCTCAGCAAGTGGGGACCTTTCCCTTTCCATGACCACTCAAAAGAAACAGAAATCAGAGTCTGAGACAGAGCAGGGAATCCTCAGAAAAACAAAAAAAGCTTTGTTTTTTTCCCTCTGACATGGAACCCCCAGTGCTGTGACCACAAGGGTTCCCTCACCACCCTGCTGGGATGACACACCAGGATTTTGTTCCCTGCAAAACCCTGAGTCATTCCTTCCTTTTTCACGGAGAAAAGGAGGCAGGGGCCGCCTGCTCTGGGAATTTTGGGGAATGCTGGAGGACAACAGGAAACCGCTGCTGGCAGGAATTTCCACCCAACATTTTCTGGCCTCTGTGCAGTCTGTGAAGATTCTGACTCTGTCTGAGTCCAGAATTAGCTCTGGAGCATTCCTGGACAGCCAAGCTGGCTCTTCATGCCTGAGGCCTGAGTTTTATTTTAGAGATTAAACTTCCTTTAAAAATGTCATTTTCTGAGCTGACTGGATTCCCTTGCAAACACTGCAGCCACATCAGTTTTTCTGTTTTTAAAATCTGTTCCATGATGACACGTCAAGAAAAAAAAACAAACCCAAAATAAAAGTTTTCCAGTGACTTTAAAGTTGTGATTGCATTGATGTTACTGCAGTGAGGATGAACTGCAGGAGAAGCCGGTGTTACCAAAAAACTCAGAGCAACCACCACAGATCTGTGGGCTTCTAACTGAGCTGGCAAAATTGGTGTCCAGGGAGATATCAAAGAGCAAGATTTGCCATTTAAAAACAATGGGTAATGCACATAATTATAATTTTTTAAGTTCTTCTCAGTAAATTTAGTCCACTCTGGGTTTCCTGGCTAATCCTAGACACACAGATTTGGATTCCTCTAGGGAAGATGTTGAATTCCTGACCAAAGTCTGGATATTAAGTCTGACTTCTTTGATTTCGTGTAATTTTTCCTCAATATCAGATTGTAACCTAATAAAAGACATGACCTCTTCCTCTCAACTTTGATTTCCTTTTATTTTTGAGCTCCCCAAGCTAAAGCAGAATTCCCACTGCAAAACAGCAGCAGGCACGGTGGGGACTCCATCCCCTGCCCTGGGCTGGGTAATTTGATCATCATTTCTGACCCTGCCACATTTCAGCCTCAGGAATTCTCCAGGGACCGTCCTGTCCCAAATTCCAGGGTGGTTTGGGTCAGACAGAGACACAGGACGGGGTTTTGAGGGATTTTTTTGCTTAATCCAGCAAGTCCAGGCAGGCCCTGGGAGTGGGGAAATTCCGTGACAAAGGAAGGAAGGGCTGGAATCCACAAGGGACATCAGAGGGAAGCGTGGATCCCTCTTCCACCTCCTTGTTGGGTTCCTTGTTCCCGTAGCTAACACAGAAACTGCAGGTGAGCAGCAAACAAAGCCCTCACCTGAGAAACCAGCCCTGCAGTGAGGTGATATTTCTTGCATGGTGAGAGGCAGAAGGTCAAATTCTACACATTTGCAACAGCAAACACGGGAAAATTTAGGCAAAGTTCTCAGCAATTCACCCATTTGGCTCTGATTATTCAAATTGTGGTTGATGCAGAAGTTCTGAGAACTTTTTAACTGGGTATTTTTAATGTCATGCAGGAGTTCAAGCATTTTTTCCGGTTAATGTGACAGAAAGCAGAACAGCAGAGGGTGATTCTGGCACCCCATTGCAGGGACATGAAAAACTGGCTCCTTTAACTAGGGAGATTCATCAAGCTTGAATCCTTCCCAGCGCTGTCAGTTGTCACTGACTGGAGGAAAACACAGCCCTGGGTGCCCTGTTTGGGGAATAACTGCTGAGGAGGAAAATGTCTGAACCAAAACTGGCACAGCCCATGCCAAGGAGAGAGAGATCCATTAAACAGCAGCCAACAAATTGTGCTCCCACTCATTCCCAGCTGCATCCAAACAGAAACTGTTTTCATCCCAGCAGATTTAGCAAAACCCAGGATGGACAGCCAAGTGTTCTGACTGAGAGGAGGCAGGAGATAAATGAGGAGGTATTTGTGCCTTTTGTAAAATGATGCTGTTTTAATCCTTATGAGGAACAGAAAAAAAAAGCTAAACCACTAAAAATCAGTGCCTGGATATCCATGGGACTGATCCAGAGCTCGCTGAAACCAGGGGAAATGTGTCCAAAGCCTTCAGTGGGACTGAAATCAGGCCCCCAGCTCGGCAGGAGCATTCTTAACCAGATTAAATGAGGTGTCCCCCGGGTCAGCAGGCAAGCCCAGGCTTGAGCCATGAAGGGACAGACTCAGGCACAGTTTCTGTAGAAACTGCAGCCCAAAGCAGGAGCAAACACAGCTCCCCAAACACACTCTGGCAGGAGCCACCCCTGCAGGACTTTCTTTGCAGTTGTGCTGTTTTGAAGGACTGAGCACATGGAAATAAAGAAACCGAGTGCAGCTTGCCAGTGGCAATCTCCCCTCTGCAATTTGATTTTTGTGGGTGATGGATGGCAGGCAGTTCCTCCAGGTAAGCAGCTGCAGTTCGTAGATATTGATATAAAAATCAGACAGCCTGGGTGATTTCCATATGGAAAAGCATCCTCAGTGACAATCTCCTGAGGGAAAAGCAGCCTGCATTTGTTTGGTCACTGTCCTGGTCACATTCAGCAGCACCAATTCCATTGTCCATTAAGTCAGAGGGCAGAAGAAACCTCATACCTGGAGGTTACAAATTTAGGCACCTGTACTTCAACAATGCAATCTCTGTAAAATGAATTATTTTGGACTGGAGTGAACCAGAAGCTGATTCTGGATCACCACCACAAAAATGTTAAGGGTTTGAGTACTCCACATTGCTAGAATTTAAGTTTTTGAGATTTAAGTAACAAAATAAACTTAAAAAACCCAGTGGTGTTGATCCAGGATGTTCTAAAATGAAATGACAAAGGGAAGACTGCAAAGCTGCCTGGGTTTATCTTACAGAGTCTGAGAGCTGTTCCCATAACTCTTTTGATTTTCTGGGTTTTCTTCCTCTGTTTGTGTGCCATGACTTTCCGAGCTGAAGAGGTCAAGGGCAAGCAAAGAGAAATGGCTGGGCAGCCCCCCAAAAACCAGGGGGAGAGGAGCAGGAAGGTGAAGCTGGGCACAGCACAGGGCACTCATCCCTCCAAGCCATTCCTCTGGAGCATTCCTGGTGGGACACGAGCTGGGACAGCCACCAGCGCCACCCCAGCCCTCCCTGGAGCCATTGGGGTGGGAATTCCACGCTCGGGGTGTGTTTCCCATGTTGACTTTGCCCATGGAAACCTCCCATGGCTGTGCCCAGGTCCCCCTGGCAGGGTGGCCATGGTGACAGGGAGTACACAAAGCTCCCAGGCTGGCCTGGGGACACTCCGAGCCAGGAGCCCCAGGGGAAAAGATGGGAGCATCCCCAAAGGAATTCTGCTCCATGGACAACCTGGAAAAGGGAAGAGGGAAGAATCCACCCATTTTTTCCCATCCCAAGAAATCAT